GGTGAAAACATAACCTCCTTGGCAGAGGTAATCAGAATCAATTAGGCCACATATATTTTAAATGCATATATTCACACCCCAGATTAAAAGGAATTACACATTTTTTTATAACAATATGGGGCAAAATCAGCGCTTCTGCCACATTTATTCAAGTATTTATTCCTGTGACTATAACAGTATTCCATTCAATAGGGGACAAGAAGGCTGGACATCATCAGTGATATAAGATTACAGTCTCTATGAATCTGTGTGCACCATTGGTATTAGCCAAGTCAGATATGTTGGTGTGCTAGCCCTCAGGCCAAGATAGGAAAAAAACACTTATAGGGTCATCTCTAGGAGCAAAACATGTAGTGTTTTTGTCAGTGATGATGAAAGTGGCAGCTCCAAAATAAGCAGGCAGATAGCAAGTTAAACTATCAAAAAGACTTATTAGATTAACATAAATATATCAACATAGAAATAAGCAACATGTTAAAATTTACATCCACCACTGCAGTTTAACTGGCCATGTACACTCTGATCATAGCTGCAGGCTAGTTTATATCCATCTTGGAGCACATTCTTGTCTTCTGCTTTAAGAGCACTATCTAAATTATTTTTTTTATTTTCACAATAAAAATATTAATTCACCTTTGAGTGCAGTAGTTTTCTCTCTGTCCTCTTGGCCAGCAACCTGGGCCATGGTGATCCACAATATGTACAGGGTTGGTGTGGCAGCACAAAGATGAGAGCGCATGAGTCCTTTGCTCCTGGAGATTACTGAGGTGCATCCTGTCACGTGAAAATAAATAGAGAAAACTAGAAATGAGCATTGCTAGAACACGTGCTGTATTATATCATAGTTTAACACGCTTATTCCTGTCTGTCTATGAATCCCTTTATACACCATAACGGTCTCAATGCTTGTTGCACCTGTGAAGTGGCAGGATGCCAAAATATTAAGTCCTGCAGTTGATTCCAGCTCCTTTGCCAGAATGTAAGACTCTAGCTGTCTGAATAAACCGGAGCAGTGATTCGCACTGCAATAACATACTGCATGACCAGCCAACGACAACTGTTGCTAACATGAAACCGTGAGTACAGCAGCAGCCGTGTGTCCGCTCAACTTTGCACACGTGCAGCAACTGAGTTAATTATGCAAACACAGCAAAGTTATTCCTGCTTTCGAACCAGGCTGCGGGCAGAAAGAACACAGCCACGTTCACGCGCTCAGCTCCCTCACATTGCTCCGTTATTTTCTCAACTGCAGTAAACATCTGTTTATTGTTTCGTACTCTTAGAAACAACTCCCGGAATGTGTGCAGTCGCTCTACATGGAGCCACTGCGAGCACGTATAGTAGGACAGCATTCGTGCTTTTATTTCACATTCGTTTCAGCCAAATGAAACACAGGCTCGGAGAGGAACAGCTGTTTACAGTAGATGCATGCATGCTTTTTGCTCGACTCACGCACCATCAGTATATATGCGACTGTCCAGTTGCTGCAGCTTCCTTGAAATTTCTAAAACAGGAAGGACTCTGAGCAGAGCTGAGCTCTGAGAGCGTGAAGCTTCCGGGTTACCGGGGCAACGGACTGGAAGGGATATTTAAAGACACAGTAGCACAGCAGCTGCTGCAGCTCATCCAGATGTTTTCTCTTGTGTGAGATTTCTACCACCTGACCACCTGACCACCTAACAGTGGTGGAATGTAAGTACATTTGCAGTGGCATTGTATTTTAACTGTATAGTTAAAAGATACTTTGCATATAAAGATTTTACATGTAAAAGACATGTTGCTCACATGTTGATGCATCATAATAGGTTGCATAATAGATATGAGACTTTTACTACATTTTGCTAATAATAACCTACATCTCTACTTTTTAACATGTTAAATGCCTGACTTTTACTTTAATTGTCGTTATTATTATGGTAATCCAAAATTTAAAGATAAACTAAATTAAGTAAAGGATCTGACTACTTCCTGGTAACAGGTATGGTAACTCACTCATATACAATATATTTACTGAACAGGATTAGAGCCAAATGAATTTAAAAAACAGATTTCTGTGATCATTTTAATAATTGCAATAAGTCATTATTTTATGGGAAAATTTTAAAGTGAGATTTACTGGACTCATGCAGGTGGTGTGTCCCATGACTTTTGATTTTGACTCTATCCAGGTGTGTGCTTGTGTCTTAAGAGTACATTAAGTCCATAACTCTTCCCTGACAACTTTACTTTGTTATATTCTGTGCTGCATAAGAGGAACTACACGGCACACTGATTGTATTCTTTTTGAATTATGACTAGATGACTCAGGCCTACTAATATCATTTTTCCCTGACATGCTTTTACGGAATCCCTAAATTGCTAAGACGTATTAACCATTCTATACATTCATTTTTAATATTGTATAAAGTGAGAATAAATACATCAATATATAATAAAGTGAAATACTTGAACATGTTTTTCATATGTCAAAACTGTTAGAAATGGGACATGGGGTTGTGCATGTGTGACTGGCTGTGATGGGATAGTGGGAGTACAACATTTTAGACATTAAAATGCATAGCATTTTCTCCCCGTGCTTGTGTGGGTTCTCTCCGGGTACTCCGGCTTCCTCCCACAGTCCAAAGACATGCAAATGGGGACTAGGCTGATTGGTTACTCCAAATTGACCATAGGTATGAATGTGAGAGTGAATGGTTGTTTGTCTCTGTGTGCCCTGCGATGGACTGGCGACCTGTCCAGGGTGTACCCCGCCTCTCGCCCGAAAGGATGCTGGGATAGGCTCCAGCCCCCCTGCGACCCTACTAGAGGATAAGCGGTAGAAAATGAATGAATGAATGAAGACGATAGTGATTAGGTCAGGCTGGCAGGAGGATGTAATGACTGTCATCTATTATAGAATTGTTACCATGACACACTATTAATAGCTACAGATAGTATTGCATAGTTTGGTTCTTTCCTTAGCCAAACAACCCTTTGTTCTGCTTTTTGTCTAACATCACCGAACCATTTCCTTTCAGCAGCAGGCCTTATAAAATAAGACTGTGTTTCGCCCTCTGCGTTATATTCAAGGTGTAGGATATTCCCTCTTTTTAGTTTTCCATCGCAGGCACAAGGACACTGGTTTCCTCTCTGAGAAAGCTGTTGTGGTGAGCGTGTTCAGGACTGTTCTTACAACACTGTGTGTGTGACATGGATCAGAGCACATTACAGTATTTAAAGAGAAAGGAAGCTGATTGATTGCCAGATTGATACTGATACTGTGCTATAGGTGACTCTTCTAAAACCACCTGCTGCACCCTGTTCCTCTGTACCTGCAACTTTACTTCATGCCATGTGCTGTTGATTCACAGAAATAGCCTCCTGGTTAAACTTAAGCTGGATGCCCTACTTCTGGACGGCCTCTAGAAGTTGAAGCTGTTTCTCTGGGGAGCTGAGCTACCCTGTTTCCTCAAGCAGAGTGCTGGAGATGCTGCGAAGGGAGACCTAAATAAGAAACAGAAATGACATATTGTGGCATTGATATCCACAGAGTTTGACAAGATAAAGGAGATGCTTTTTGCTCACTCTGTACTCTGTGCAGGACCTGAGAGCAGAGGCGTAGACTTGAGCCAAACGAGTTGGACTCAGATTTAAGTTACAAGTTTGAGTTGCTCAGACTTGACTAAAAGTCTAATAAATCAACTAGTGACTGGTTGTTTCACTTAGACATGAGGCCAGAGACGAAACAGTAAAAAATCTTGTCGGCCCAAAGCAGAGAAGACATTCAGGCCACTGTTCAAACTTGTAGCTCAATAGGACTTGATGAGCTCTTGAAGTAATTATTTTAACTTTATAGCAGACTTTTCAGGTTACTGTGTAATGGGAGCTCACACTGATCCCCCACTGTATAAAGAGACATTTATAGGAAAAATAGATAAACTGTTGCTACGGAAGTGGGACTTGACATGGAAATGAAGAGAAATCAGGGTAATCTATCTGAACGATGGTCTTCCTGTACCATGCTGGCTCATTACATGCTGACGCAAAGCTTGTTGTGCTCAATGGATGATCATACAAATAAAACCATCATGTTTCTGCTGTGACAGTTTGCCATGGACAATGCACTAATGCACTGAGGGCAATCAATTGAAATAGAAATCAGAGGAGTCAAAATGCTGCGACTGTTTATCCTGTATAAATATGTGACAATGAGCTCTGGGATTCTGAAAGTGTTTCTGTAGGTTTGATAATCCCCAAACAAATACTGTATAATAGAAAATTCAATTCATTCTTTGTGATGAATCATTCTTTGTAATGATTTGTTGTGAATTGTACTGTCAACTTTACTGACAGATGTCTTCTGAGCCAATCACCTGTCTACAATGAAAATACAAATGGATAACCCTACAGGTACTTTCTCTAATGGGGAGGGAGAGTAAGAGAGGAGATCAAAGCATTTTCTTTTCACAGAAAACGGTTATCTTACAAGAACAGTTTGAATAGCCAAATACTGTTTTTTTGCAACTCCAAAATAAAACACTTTTAATGTGTTGAATGAAGTTTTTTTTTTTTTTTTGTCGCCATTCAGCCTTTATTCAGAAGTAATGGCAGAATGCAGCTGCTGAACGTTTTGCTGTTATTTGTATTGTTTTTTTGATTTGGCGATCATAATCTTTCTACATTTGCATTAGGAAAAGAACATTTCCCTCTGTAGAAGGAAATGTTTTCCTTGTCTCTCAAAGGAATTGCGCAGCAGTAGCCTCTGTGAGCTAAATAACATACATGTTGACCAAAATAGCTTAATTTGAGTAGTTTTATCCTTATTTGAACATCATATATAATAGGAATGAACATGTATGTACTCAGAAATGTAATGCTAACTTCATAGTCATGAATCCTAATAAATTATTGACTACAAAAAGATCACACACGTTGATCATACAACAGAGGACGAATATTCGGTCGTGAAGTATGAATATGATTTTATTTTCATGTTTAATTCTAAAACATTCCATCTCCATCTCATAAATAACAAAATCAGACACAGTTGGAAAAATATAAAGAGCAATCGTCTTACACATTAAATACGTTTTCTAAGTTTGCACAAAAAAACTGACAGATATTACATAGTAGGGCAGATTTTTGGGACATATTGTAATCAAAACACACATCATCTTTGCTTCGCAACCGTAATTCTTGATGTTTGCTTTCAGGAACGAGGTGCAAGTATGCTGACACCAATGTCGTTACACTTGCTGTCTCAAAAAAAAAAAACTTCAACTACCTACAATGATCACACAGTCCCATCTTGTCCCAGGCAAACAAATCCTGGTTCTCCATTTCCCAGAACTGATTTCTGTAGATGTGCGCCAAAAAGATGAAATGTGTCTGATGCAGCATAGAAAAGCACAGGGAGTTTGTCTGAGGCATGTGCATAAAGAGGGAGACACTGTCTCCCTCACTCTTTTTGTTGTTTTGGCTTCTCATCCTCTCATACATTCCAGTTTCCATGCACACACGTATGCAATCTCACTATATGTATACATGCACAAACCCAGTTGCACCCACAAATGTGTACACACACACACACACAAACACGCACATACACGCACACACATTCTACTACCTTGAGAGGTGCAAGTGCATATCACAAGCAAAACATTTACAACACGATAAAAATTCAAACTGCATGGACTTTTATTGGGCAGCACTTTTATCAGATGGTTGTGTTTCCCCCTGGGTCTGTTTTGCTGGTGTCTCATCAGCTGCAGGAGGGTCCTGCGGCCCCGGACTGCAGCAGCACACAAAATATGTTTTCTGAAGTTCTTCTAGCATCGCTTTCTCTCCATCTTCCAGCTCTGCACCGTCCTGCATCTCCCACCTGAAAAGCATAGACAGCATAGAGAGTGGGTGGAGGGTTTCAAACAGAACATCAGCTCTTTTAACATGAACAAACATTTGTCACCTAGTCTTAAATGAAAACATACATCCAGCAGTTGCTAGTAAGAAACCTACTGAATGTGTCTACACGTACAGTACAAGTTATGCCGGTCTCTGGTTGTATGAAAATACAGAATCAGCGCACCAACAAAATGCTGTTCATATTTGTTTGTGTGGCCGTACCTCCCCTCTATCACAGAAAAAAAAAGCGAGGACCCCACAGCATGCAGCCCAGCTTGGGTTCAACACAGAGTGAGGAGTAACCTGTTGTCCAAAATACATTCTCTCTCACACACTCGTCAGACAGAAACTCTTCAAGGCTCTGTAAGGCACACTTTCACTCCTAGAGTTCTCATACGGGAGTATTCTTCTCTTTTCTTCTTTCATGCTGCGTGGGTCAGTTTCACAGCAGTCTCTGCTGCTGTGATACACCATCAGACTTAAAGAGAAAAAAAAAAGAGAAATAAAAGAGAATAGATGATTTTGGCTCTCTGTCTCTGTGTCTGTCTCTTCCCCTTTCTGTCAATGTGATGCTTACTGAGGCTAAAGGAACTCCCTGTTTGGGTGACTACATTTTATGGAGGACATTGTTACTCATATTTTGTTGCTTTGTTTAATCGCTTCTACAGTATGTCTCTCCATCACATTTTTCAATTCTTCAAGCTATAGAGTGGATGGAGGGCTTCAATATGAAGACATCAAGGGTAGTCACGTTGTAATTCACTCTCAGTATTTCAGTGGAATCCCTTGACGAGTGACTGTGGTCAATCAAATCCATATGGAGAGCTGGGTGAAGGCTGTCTTTGAGCTGCCGCATCACACTCCCTCCAAAGGAGAATTATGTCTGTCTGACTGCAAATGATTGCATTTTCATTGCAATCTCTGCGTCTCCTTTTATCCCGCCCTCCCTCCCTTCCGATTCCTCACTGTAGCTTCAAATATCTACCATATAGTTGTGCTTTGTGCATGTGTGTGAGGCGTTCGTGTGCGTGAGCAGAAAGACGGGGTAAAACACCAAATATATCACGCATGTGTTTCATGCATACTAAGAAGCGGGCCTCTCAATGCCGAGCACTTTGGTGAAGTTTCTGCCTCTGTCACAGAGCGTATGCGGACAAATCAGACTTCCTCTTTCTCAGCTTCCCCAGCACTGTCAGTGTAGTAATTATCATCTGTAAGTGGAAGATCTGTTTATGTAAATATGCAGCTTTGACAGAGAAGTTTCTGCTCATGTGACTGCACTCTCTTTCTATGTACAACTTTGGTGACTAGAGTCTTTTTTTCCTGACAACTTTTTGTGTCCATCTGAATCTCACTCTTTCTATTTGTCAAGGATGGCTATCTCTAAAAGAAAGAAAGACGAAAGGGGGGAGTGGATCAGCATCCCTTTGATGACTGCTACAGACTGTTTAGGAAAAATGCAGATGACTACTAGATGCAGACAAATTGCCCCTACATTATTTTTTCAGTGACATAAAATTAAAATCAGTTCTACTAAATAACCACTATGGGACACAAATAACACTCACACAAACAAAACAATACAAATGTCACACAGGGAGCAAAACAAGAACACAGAAGGGAGTGAGGGAGAACAGAAAGCTAGAGGAATGGTGGCCAATAAAGGAGCGAGCAAGACAGGAAGCAAGACAGGAAGGTGCGCTAAAGGTTTTTCAATGTTTAATTTTCAAATAGGATTAAGCAGAATGACATTTAGCTGAAGGTTACAGGCTCAGCATTGTCTTAGCTGATATTGATATGCAGGAGGCGCCCTGCTTGTCACCGGGACAAACACCGTTGATGAATGAGAAGCCTTTCCCCAGGAAGGTGTTAAGTGCAAATTTGAAATGAGAGAGAGTTAGAGGTAGTGAGAGAGAGACAGAGAGAAAGAGAGAGAGAGAGAGAGAGGGAAAAAAAGAAGCACACACAGACAGAGATTGAATTACCACGATAGTCGCCATGTACGCTGTCACTAGATAATGTTGCCAAAAGTGTAAATTGTTCCGTAAAGTGTAGGTTGCATATTTGTTGAGATTGGTTGATCTCGTGCTGACAATGAGCCAAAAAATACACAAGGTGCTTTGCTGTGTGTATCTAATTTCAACAACTACAACACAACAATGCCTCTTAGAAATGCATAAGTAGGCTAAAGTTGACAATAACTTCACTGTATCCTCATTTCGGCAAGTTTTCCCCCGGAATTTACATCTTAATAAGGGGAGTCTTACCCTTTAATTCTTATGGGCTCTGCTCATTTCTCATGCATTAATACTGGAGCTGCTGACTTGGCTCTTCCTCTGAATACAGAATAGGACACACATATTAAGACTCATATATTTACAGGATTGATGCCACGGGAGATTGTCTCAGAGTGAGATGAAAAGGCTGGCTCAGATGTATTTCAACGTGAACATCAATGTAAGCTGTCCTAATCATGGGACTGTGCAGGCACAAGACAGACAGCATCCATCCTGATTTTCAGCTGATAATGAGTAGTGATGTTCGACAAATTAAGAGCATAAGCCTCGCTCAGAGATCATCCGGCAATCAACTTACTTACTAAATCTTGCTCCAGATGCAACACAGATGAAACTTTGATGTTCGACTGAGCGACTGAGAATAACAAAAAGATGTAAAGTTATTGTGAAAAAATATATATATCAACAGGGGGGAAAAAAAGAAAAGCAGAGCAACAAAATATAACTGGCAGAGGTACAAGTATAGACTGTGCAAAACAAAGTGAGTGAGCAGAAAGACAAAGTGCTTGAAAGATCACGAGAGGCAGAGAGACAGTGGCCAGTGGTTTCCTCTGCAGCTGTCAGCGGGCTGAGTGGTTTCTCTCAGAGTGTTGGGTGTTTGTGCTGCGCCGGGTGCCCTGCCTGCTCTGCCACTGGGACCGCTGTTTGTTTAAAAGGCTTGCCTGTCAAACAGAGAGCGCCACCGGCAGCCAGACACTCAGCTAAATGACTCTGACAGCAGCCCTAATCAGAGGCTTCGCACATTGCCGCAGGGCCTGGAGGATCCATCATAACCCAAGCCTAAATATTTAAAGTGCTAAACTTTCCAAAGGTCAGGCCTTTCCATGCATGCCAGGGCGACATGTGTCAGAGAAGGAAAAGGAAAAGAGGGACTGAAGAAGACAGAGAGGAGTAGAGAGAGAGCGAGACTATGGTTAAATGTTCTCCATCATTCTCACCCTTGTGAGAACCACTTTCAGTTTTACACCTTTGGAATCAGGTTACATGTAGGGAACAGATATCATTTTGAGTGGTCGTCACGTCTTTACACATCTCATTCGAGGCTAGAACCCGGGATTAGAGTGAAAGATGAGTCGAGAAAAGATTTTTATGTAAAGCAATTCACATCACAAAGTTGGGCCGCAACTGACAAGAGTGTCCCTTGCTAAACGACACACTCAGATTCACCCTATGTCTCTGAAAAGAAAAGCAAAATTTGGAGAGAAATACAAAAAAAAAAAAAAAATAGCACGGCGACTGAGCAGTCTGCTGAATGAAAGCTGGACGAAGATGGATGAACCTTTTCAACCACAGCTCCCTGACCAGAATATGTTTTACAAATTCAAGCAGCTACTTTTTTGCTGATGTCAGAGTTCAAAGTTTAAGGTTAGGTGTTTAAAGGTGATGGGTAAAGGTGAGCTCAGTGGATGAATGTAGTCAGTGGAAAAATAACCGTACAAGGATGTGTACAGTATATGTCTGTGGCAGCTTCCGGCTGAGTGGAGCCATGTTGAGTCCATTGTCTCTCATTTCATGCTCTTGCACTTTGCCTTCAGTTCTGTAGTTTCACAGACAACACTGCAGCGTGCGCAGGTGTCTGGGAAGCAGAGTGCATGGGAATAAATCATCACAGCAGAGAACACAGAGTACTTCTAAGAAGTGACAGAAAGTGTTTGGGGTTTTCGCTCATTTCTTGTCACTAGTTGTAAGTGAAGCACATTAGGTGTTCAGCAAACAAAGTCACAGCTTGTGTTACACATCTGCCCAAACTTGAGCTCAAGCTACCATGTTCCTTGAAATAAAACAACAAAAAAAAAAAAAAAGAGGAAACAACAAAGATAAGATATTAGTTGGGAATGGATATTGTACATTAAAATCTAGTTCAGTTGGGGTAACTGACAAGTTCACAATACAGGACAGAGGGGGTGGTCATCTCTTCGATTCAATTTCCATTGAGAAGCAAACATCCAATTCAATTTAGATATGTGCCTGTGCTAGGCCATGAGCCAGAGGGAGATTGTAACTGACAGCCATTGGACAGCCGGCTGGATTTGAATATTGACGAGACAGAGACTTGACAGAAAGGATTATGCTCTACCTTCTGACTTGCTAGCTGCTACACTGATCCATTCTATTGTCAGATCAACTCAGTGTCAGGTCTACAGTATGTCCGCGTGGCACGGTGATGCCACTCAGTATTAGACCCTACCTGAGATCCATCTCAATCCAAACTGATGTCCACTCAAGAGCTACAAGACACACACTAAATCAACAAGGACAAAAATATGCAATATCAAAGCAAATCTATTTCAAAGTAAACGTAAAATGAGCGGGTAGCTTTAGTCTGCAGCTGCTGTGTTCAATATGGACAAACAAAAACACATACGTATACACACAGTATCAATACTGCAACTTCTAACCTAACCCTCAAACCGCTCTAAAAACTACCTCTTTACAGGATTTTTTGGATTACTTTCTAATCTTGTGATGACATTTTGACTTCATTCATCAAAAACTACAACAGTCTTGATGTATCACATTAGAATGAAGCTCCACTGCCGTACGCTACAGCAAGCCTATCTTCAAATTTTAAAATGTGTATGTGTCGATGCTTATATGTGTGTGTGTGTGTGCGCATGTGGGTCAAAGCCACAGTCTCCCCAGTGTTAAACCCACCCTGTCTCCCACCCAGCACACACCCTCC